AGGAAGGGTTAAGCTAACAGGCAGCGCACCATTATGCCTGTTGTGGGGGGGGATTTTGCTTCAGTCCATTAAAACAAGTTTTGAAATCCCTGCTAGTTATTTTGCTCTGTGGCTGCTTTTTACATTTTTCTGACGATTATGAGCAACGACTGTTTTCTACTAAGCCGCCTGTTATCTCAGTGTTCACTGTGATTAACAGGCAGCAGTGTGGAGGAGCTGTGGAGGCCTGGCTGGGCAGCTGAAGCTTCTGCTACGTGTAGTTGTTGGTTAGACTTCAGTTGTGCTCTGATGTGTGGCGCTGTCCATCTGCCCAAACTGGGACGCTTACGTGACTTCTTGTTACCAGTAATACATAACGTGCAGTCACCAGCACAGCCGTAACTGCCCACACATGCTGTGCGTGCGCTGTGTTACACCCACGCACACCTGTGTCAGCCAGAATCACAGCCGTATGAAATGTGCAGAGCAGCTTCTGACTCACACGTAGCTCGTGGTTTATGCAAATAAATAATAAACATTTCTTTTCCAAATGTGATGACTTTGAATAGTCAAGGTCTTCATATTTATTGAAAATGAAAAGGGAAAAATGTGCAAATAAGAAAGACCCAAACGCCCCACGCCGCTGTGCAACCTTCATCCACCTTCTTTGCTTCTTTGTGTTAGTGTGTCTGGTGTTTTCCACAAACAGATTGGGACCCTGAAACAAACACAGTTAATGGCAAAAGGTATCAAAAAAATGACTGAATTGTGAGCAGGGCTGTCTGAAGACATGTTAGGCTCCCGTCTGTACATGACGTCATTTATGATGATTTGAAAACGCGTCCCGCCAGAGACTTTGCATCGAAGACTCCACAGACTGTGAATGGGGAGTCTGAAGACTCTGTGTTGCTTTGAGGCCATTTGGCAGAAATCTGTAATTCCCACAATAATAACAGTCACATTTTCTGAATCCTAACAAAAATACCTACGTTTCGATGTATCATTTGTGTAGGGTAGGGTGAAAATTGAGCGAGGAGGAAGAATTTGGTCAGACGTGAAGAACAGATTCAGAAAACTAGAGTGGTGCGCTCTAGCTGAGCTGCATAGCAACCATAGCAACGCATGTATTTTCTGAAAAATCTTCACGGTGTCACTGCAAACTTCAACAGGGGTTTTATGAAAACGGTGAGAGACACGAAACAGCTGAATTATTTGGTAGTAGCCCAATAAT